CAACGACAACAACAGCAGCTACAACAACAGCAGCTACAACAACAACAACAACGACGACGACGACCGTGACAACAACGACAACAACAACAACAACAACAGCAACAGCAACAGCAACAGCAACAGGCAACAGGCAACAGGCAACAGGCAACAGGCAACAAGCAACAACCAACAAGCAAAAAGCACAAGCAACAACAAGCAACAACAACCACAACAACAGCACATACACGTACAAATACCAACAAGGGACCCAACACCCCAAGGCACCGTAAGCCAGCAACAACCGCAGCTCTTAACCTAGAAAAGAGTGAATCAAAATCCCGAGCCCTCAACCCTAAACCCTCGGTTCAATCCTATACCCTGAACCCACAGGTCAGAGTGCTGAGAAGACTGTGGAGCCGCCTGCTGTGTGCGAGTGTGCGAGTCGAAACCCACGCCGAAACTAAGGATGAACGGAAAACTCTAGCCTCAAGAAACCCTAAACCCTAAAAGCCCACAGCCATACACCCCCCCCACAAGAAAAGAAAAAGCCAAGCCAAGGATTTATGGCCACTTCGATCGCCTTTGGCCCGAGTCTGAGCGATCAGTGCATGACGAAGCCTCCAGAGCTAGTGGCCGAGGAAGGGTGTGTGTGAGTGTTTTTTTTTTTTTTTTGTCCGAGGGTTCCTTTTACGGGCTGCTTTGATTATGAACTGTTTTCTGTTTTACCAAGGGGCCGAAGGCTTCAAAGTGTACTTTTGGGATCCTTTTTTGGGGCTTCTAGAAGGGTTCCATGAGGATTCTTTGTAAGGGTTTGGTACTTTTTAGGCTTCTGTAAGGGTCTTATTATAGGGAGTCTTTAAGGGGGTGTGAGGTGCCGCGGTGTTTGAAAGCAGTTCTGTTTCCTTTACCCAGACCCCCGGAAGGATCTAAAAAAGTAGATTCCCTTAATTTGGGGCCCTAACTGCTATTAAGGGTGTACTTGATAGGAGCCCCTTTAAGGGATCTACTTTTTGGATCCTCCCCGTCTTCTGGGTATACAATCCTTGCAGTTAGGATGGAAAGCCTTAGAGAGCCCCTTAAAAATTTCAGAGCCCTATGAACCCTTTATGGAAGGTTTAGGGTTTAGGGGTTCAGGGGTTGAGGGTTCAGGGTTTAGGGTTTAGGGTTTCTAGGGCCTAGGAGGATCCGTTACTAATAGAAAAGCACGTGAAAAGGAACATAAACCTAAACCCGGTTTGCAGATCCCAGAACGGAGCCTTGAGAGGAATCCTTTCTGGAACCCTAAAGCCCTAAACCCCTAAACCCTGAACCCAAAACCCCTAAACCCTAAACCCTGAAATCTAAACCCCTAAACCCCTAAACACCCTAAACTAAACCCAACAGGAGCAGGAGCCGACGCCTTGCAACTTCAGCCGCATGACCTTTCGGAAGCCGGCCATGCCAAATCTTCCTGAGGAGGCCGGGCCTTCTACGCCCAAAGAATCTCAAAAGGAGCCCCTTAAGGGGCTCCTTTGAGGGGGGGGGGGGGTTTAGGGCTTTAGGGTGTTGGGGTTTGGGGTGTAGGGTTTTAGGGTTCAGGGTTTAGGTTTTAGGGTTTTGGGTTTAGGGTTAGGGGGAGGTGTCTAGAACAAGGGAGATTACAAGGGTCCTGTTTGGCAGGGGCCTGCATCGTCGGAACATGATTCCTCTACAACAAAACCCTGAAACCCTGGAAAGAGCCTTAGTTACTCTGCCATATAGAACCCAAGGGAGCCCTTCAGCTGGGTTGGGGTCTAAACCCTAAAACCCTAAACC